TCACCCACTACTATTGGAAGACCGTCTGCCCCTTGTGGCTTGGACTCTTTCAGGGGTTCCTGGCAAGTCAGAGGACTATCGCAGGCTGCTAGGGACCTCTTATGGGATTCCTGGGCCCCCGGAACTAGACGCTGCTACCTTTTAACTTGGGCCTCCAGGTCTACTTGGTGCATGGAATGGGTCTCCGATCCATTTACAGCACCTATTCCCATGATTCTCAAGTTTCTTTCGTCCTTGTTTTCGACAGGTCGCTCCTACCGCTCCGTTCAGCGATTTCGGCAGCCCACACTCCCGTCGGGGACCTCCCGGTTGGCAAAGACCCTCTCGTCTGTTGCCTTCTCCGCGGTATGCGGCTTCGCCGCCCTCCGGCCCCCAAGTACACCCATCTATGGGACGTCGGGCTGGTTCTCCGTTTTTTACGGGATTCGCACCCTAACGAACAATTGTCTCTCCGACAATTATCGGCAAAATTCGCTTTCCTGCTTTGGCTTGTTTCCTTCCGTCAAGTGTCAAATGTACGAGCCTTCGACATCGACACTTTCGATGTCGCCCCCGATGGGGTCACATTCCGTATTTCCCGTCGTACCAAGTCAGATTCGACTTCAGTCTTCTGCCCCTTTTTTCCAGATGACCCGCAGCTCTGTGTGGTATCTACTCTCCGCAGATACGTCACGGTTACCTCCCCTCTTCGAAACTCGGCGTCGGGTCAACTCCTGGTGTCCTACGTTTGTCCCCATGCTCCGATCTCAGTCACCACGCTAGCTCGATGGATTCGCTGGATCCTCTCTCTCGCCGGTATAGACCCCTCTTTCGGCGCCCATTCCGTCCGCGGAGCGGCGGCCTCCTCAGCCTTCCTAGCAGGGACGCCTTTGTCGGATATTCTTCGGGCGGTGGATTGGTGTAGGGAATCTACATTTTGTACCTTCTATTTCCGCTCTCCTTCTTCTGCTGGGATATCTCTACTTCAGCGTTAAAAGTGCAAAATAGGAAGCCTCCTGTCATGTTATAAAATTGAAGATTATGCTAACTTTAGTGTACTAATAATCTTAATTTTAATAAGGACAGGAGGTGAGTATTTTCCCTCCCTTCTGTTTCCTCCCCTGACACCTCGGAATCAGGTGACGGATGTTATATGTTCTGGTTAAATTTGTTGTTTTCCTACCTTATCATATTGTGGGCTATTCTGGTTCACACTTGACACTCGTCATAGAGACCTTACATTATAACGTTTTCAGGAGCATGTTTTATCGTATAATAATATTTTGTCATCTGCTCTTTATTAATTTTTGCTTGAAAGCATGCTGATAAAGGCTCATCTGCTTGACCAGTTATGGTTCAGTACCTAACCTATTTTATACTCTCCTTTCAATGTAATGCTCTTCAGGACCTCCGCTGGATGCCGTTTTGGGATCTCTCACGACTCCGCTTGATTGGCTGAGGACTTCGTTTGTATCTTGTTCCTAGTTTCGCTGGTCAGAAGTCTCCTCAAGTTCGGTTTCCAGAGGACGCTTCTACTAGTTTTGTTTGGTTTTCTGGTTGTTTTCGAGTTCAGTCAGGACTTGGATGTCGCTTAAAGAAAGAGGAAGTGTACAGGCAGCATGACTCTTATATAGACTATGCTGCTCATTGATTTATTGTTATTTTTTACGTTTTTCTTTACTGCTATGGAGTTTAGTAAAGAGAGTTAATGCAAAATACTCGCCTCCTGTCCTTATTAAAATTAAGATTATTAGTACACTAAAGCTAGCATAATCTTCAATTGTGAGGTAGCTATTCTGGAAGAATCTTTTAAAACATATATAGATAAAAATATATATGTTAAGAATATGCCTATACTAATGCTACATAACACATAAGTATAAAAAATACATAAAATATATTTTAAAAACTGTTTTCATTATTATTTAAAATATTAATTTTCAGAAAATATATTTTCATCATTATAATTTAAAACATTAATTTTCAGAAAATATATTTTCATGAAAATTAATGTTTTAAATAATAATGAAAACATTTTTTATAATATATTTTATGTATTTTTTATACTTATGTGTTATATAGCATTATTATAGGCATTTTCTTAACATATATATTTTTATCTATATATGTTTTAAAAGCTTCTTCCAGAATATCTACCTCACAATTACTTTTAAGCTTAGTATACCCCTTCTTCTCTGTTTTTGCACTTTTCAAAATATATATATATTTTAAGATGGAGTTAACACTGCATGAATTCATTAGTAACTATATATATATATATATATATATATATATATATATATATACAGGGAGTGCAGAATTATTAGGCAAGTTGTATTTTTGAGGATTAATTTTATTATTGAACAACAACCATGTTCTCAATGAACCCAAAAAACTCATTAATATCAAAGCTGAATATTTTTGGAAGTAGTTTTTAGTTTGTTTTTAGTTTTAGCTATGTTAGGGGGATATCTGTGTGTGCAGGTGACTATTACTGTGCATAATTATTAGGCAACTTAACAAAAAACAAATATATACCCATTTCAATTATTTATTATTACCAGTGAAACCAATATAACATCTCAACATTCACAAATATACATTTCTGACATTCAAAAACAAAACAAAAACAAATCAGTGACCAATATAGCCACCTTTCTTTGCAAGGACACTCAAAAGCCTGCCATCCATGGATTCTGTCAGTGTTTTGATCTGTTCACCATCAACATTGCGTGCAGCAGCAACCACAGCCTCCCAGACACTGTTCAGAGAGGTGTACTGTTTTCCCTCCTTGTAAATCTCACATTTGATGATGGACCACAGGTTCTCAATGGGGTTCAGATCAGGTGAACAAGGAGGCCATGTCATTAGATTTTCTTCTTTTATACCCTTTCTTGCCAGCCACGCTGTGGAGTACTTGGACGCGTGTGATGGAGCATTGTCCTGCATGAAAATCATGTTTTTCTTGAAGGATGCAGACTTCTTCCTGTACCACTGCTTGAAGAAGGTGTCTTCCAGGAACTGGCAGTAGGACTGGGAGTTGAGCTTGACTCCATCCTCAACCTGAAAAGGCCCCACAAGCTCATCTTTGATGATACCAGCCCAAACCAGTACTCCACCTCCACCTTGCTGGCGTCTGAGTCGGACTGGAGCTCTCTGCCCTTTACCAATCCAGCCACGGGCCCATCCATCTGGCCCATCAAGACTCACTCTCATTTCATCAGTCCATAAAACCTTAGAAAAATCAGTCTTGAGATATTTCTTGGCCCAGTCTTGACGTTTCAGCTTGTGTGTCTTGTTCAGTGGTGGTCGTCTTTCAGCCTTTCTTACCTTGGCCATGTCTCTGAGTATTGCACACCTTGTGCTTTTGGGCACTCCAGTGATGTTGCAGCTCTGAAATATGGCCAAACTGGTGGCAAGTGGCATCGTGGCAGCTGCACGCTTGACTTTTCTCAGTTCATGGGCAGTTATTTTGCGCCTTGGTTTTTCCACACGCTTCTTGCGACCCTGTTGACTATTTTGAATGAAACGCTTGATTGTTCGATGATCACGCTTCAGAAGCTTTGCAATTTTAAGAGTGCTGCATCCCTCTGCAAGATATCTCACTATTTTTGACTTTTCTGAGCCTGTCAAGTCCTTCTTTTGACCCATTTTGCCAAAGGAAAGGAAGTTGCCTAATAATTATGCACACCTGATATAGGGTGTTGATGTCATTAGACCACACCCCTTCTCATTACAGAGATGCACATCACCTAATATGCTTAATTGGTAGTAGGCTTTCGAGCCTATACAGCTTGGAGTAAGACAACATGCATAAAGAGGATGATGTGGTCAAAATACTCATTTGCCTAATAATTCTGCACTCCCTGTATATATATAAAAAAGTCTTTTAAATATTTGCAATGATAATGGATTTTTATATGTATTTTTCTTGTTATGTCCCCTACCCTTATGACATGAACTGTGGGCTTATTCATACATATGCCCTATTAAAAATGGACGATCCAGATATAATCCCCATCTGAAGTAAAGACTGATCTTGCCAAATAAATACAACAACGCATCTGCCACAGGATGTGACGTGTCGGAGGATCCCGATCGAATCGACGGAACACTCAGCCGTGACTGACAGCAGAGGATGGAACACAGCGGCACAAACATGACTGTATGCAGTCAGTGGACATCTTGGGGAGGGCAAGGAGAGTATGTGCAAGACCGGAGGTACGGCCACATTGAGGTTGGCGAGAAACTTCCGGTCTTGACCATATATGGATGTGGGTGGTGATTATAGACATATTTATTAAATTGTTTAATTATTCTGGTGTTTCTTTTTGGTATATAAGAGCAAATATGCTCATTTGGAAAATATATGCACTTGAGAAAGACCTATTTGAAAGGTTGAAACGCGTTGTGCTATTTTATTTGCTTTTTACTCTGTTTTCAAACAAACTTTTGTTTTTTAAACAAGTTGTTTAAGTATCCACCCTGGACTCTGGATTTTCCTGCAATTCATCAGTACCAAGTTCCTGAGGGCACATTAACTGCATCTTTCATTGTATATCTCATGGATGAGATGAAAAGCACCATAAGTCCTGAGCCAACTTTTAATAGGCTCTGAAAATTGTGAGTTTGAAGAAATATTCTATTTTACATACTACCTCACATACAGGATTTACCCTATGTGTGTTTTTAAATTTATTTAAATATAGGTTTTAAAAAGCTACCTATGGTTTGGTTACCTGAAAATTAATAAGTGTAAGGTAAACAAAATATCTATTTCTGTGTGTGCAAATCACCTTTTTTCCTTTATTCTTAATATTAATATTCAAGGATCTGATCTCACTTGACCATTTAAATGAAAAATAAACTATGCGGCTTAGTGTATGGCAACATCAATATCCTTTCGTAATATGTTTGTATTGTGAAAGAACAGCGAGATGGTGGTGCCTTTCAGCAGTGAGTTAAAAAACAGGTTGTCCGGATCAAAGGAGGACCTGATTAGTGTAGCAAATATTGTGTATATTGCTCTTGTTCATTCTCCCTGTCTGGAAATTGTGAAATAAATTGATAAGTTGTCAATCTTTAAAAAAAAAAAAAAGCATCTATGGTGCATCCTGTAGACCCATCATCACCTGTCTCAGCGATGTCGGTCCTTGTCTCGATGCCGCTCATGGTAATAATCTTCTGAGCGCTCATCATGGTTGTCTCTGTGACGTCGGCTGCTGCCTTCCCGGGATCGGCTGGGTGAACGATCTCTGGACCTGTGCCTCTTCCTGATAGAATTGGCTTTGTCTTGAATGCCATGGAGACAGTCTCTGAGAGAGGCCAGCAGCACCCGACAGCGGTCATCACTTGCCACACGTGACTCTTTAATTACAGCAATGGCTGTTTCAAGAGTTTTTATGGCGTTTGAGTAGTCACCTGAAGTTGCTCCACAGACTGCATTAGATAGAGCACTCCTAGAAATAGCTCGATTTCTGTTCATTAACTCTTCAAATTCTGCTTCACTCACATGTGGGATTGGACCCTTTAAGTCCCGACTGTGCATGAACGGACTAGACAGCATCTTGTAAGGATCAGGAGGAGGGCCCAGGGCAGAGTTAGGAGGGGGAAAGAAAGCGGGATTTAAATGAAGTGCTGGCGGCAGTGTATTTGGGGGAGGCATGCCTAGAGGAGGAGGAAGCCTAGGAGGAGGGGGCATAAGGTGTGGAAACTGCATTAGGGGAATTGGAGGTGGCCGGTATGCAGCAGCCAAGCTGGGAGATGAAGGAGGAGGAATAGACATTGGGGGATGCTGAAGGGTCATAACAGGAATGCGGGAAGCATTGTCCATGAATGCAGGGCGGGCATAGAATGGCAGTATGCTTTTCGGTGCCTCTGCTTGTGGTGTGGGTATGCCAGGTTCAGGAGGGGCTGCAGTGCCATCAAGGGAATCCACAGAGCCCTTGGAGTTAGCACGCGGAGGGATTTTCTTTCGTGCTAATGCCTCGAAAAAAGATAGGTTCTGCCGATTGGCCGGTCGCACGTCCAACTTCTCCCTTGAGTAGACAATTGCATATACCATAAATGTGTTCTCCATGTGGCCAACTCCTATATCTCGTCTGGTGTTTTTTTTTTTGTCTGTTCTTTATGTTAACAGCCAGTTACTGATAAGATAGATTACCTCACACATAGTATATTATTTTATTGGTAATGTTTCAAAGTATATTATAGCATTGAATATAGAAACAATTAATTTGAAATCTTTGTTCAACAGTACATTTTCTTAAAGTGTTACTATACCTCTTTTGAGAGGGGGGACTTTCCCTGTGTAATACGATCTTTTGGGCCCCTGTCAATTCGCTGTAAAACCTGTAAAAAAGGTTTTACTTTCATGAAATTTAGCGCTAGGCAAAGCTCCCAGTGCTGTTTTACTGTGCCCCCTTCTGACGTCAAGGTTACCGTGATTGAACCAAGACGCCTGTGATTGGATCTTCACGGGCTCAGAGCACATGCGGGTGCTCTAATCCGGCAGCACCCATAGAGAGGGTGGGAGAGGATTGCAAGATTCCCCTTTCAGGTTCTCTGCCAGCATGGGCTAGATTTTAGTGTCTGTTGTCGGTGTGCAGTGCTAAAATATTTAAATTCTGGGAAGTAGTGCTTCCCCTTTAAATTTCATCCATTAAATTGAATCCAAGAGGTTCCTATCAAAACAATCCATTCTCTAATATAAAGTTTTCACTGTGTCTGCAGGAATGTGAAAAATTATTTAGAAATTGTTTGCATTTTTAAGCAGTTCTGCAACCCACAGCACAAGGAGTGTATTATTTATTGTAATGCTGGTAATTTCACTGGCACAATGAATACAGCTTTGTAGAAGACAGCTTCATTCCAAGTATTTTTCTTCAAAGGTAAGGAAAACCCCCAACATCAAACAGTTATTTTCTCACATCACAGTACATAAATTATGTAGAATACCAGGTAAAATGCATTTAAAGGGACACTATAAGTGCCAGGAATACAAAGCTGCATTCCTGGTACTATAGCTCCCTCGGCCTCCCCCGTCCCTCGCGCTTTCTAGTCCGCGGTATTTAGAGGGTTAAAAACGGTTTATTTACTTACCTGATCCCAGCACCGATGTCCCTCGGAGCTTGGTTGCTGCTGCGCCTCCTACGATGTTCTTTGACGAGCAGGCTCTAATGCGCATGCGTGGTGAGTACTGCGCGCACCTTAGGCTTCCCTATAGGAAAGCATTTATTCAATGCTTTCATATGGGAAAATAGCTGATGCTGGATGTTCTCATGCAGAGCGTGAAAAAGTCCAGCGTCAGTTACCGGCCAAAAGTCCGTTAGGATCCAGGAAGCACCTCCAGTGGCTATCTGGTAGACAGCCACTGGAGGCAGGCTTAGTGCTCTGTTTAACATTGCAGCACTAAGTGCCATAGGGACACTATATCCAAACCACTTCAATGAGCTGAAGTGATCGTGGTGCCTGTATTGTCCCTTTAAGCCACATTCTGCTCATTAATATAAATATTAAAATATTTTATATATATTGTCAAATACCATAACAAACACAGCTCACTGTAGTGGTTATGGTGCCAGGAGTGCCCCAGCATTTCCTCATTGTAAGATGTCAAGCCAATGGATTCTTTTCTAGTTAAGTGTTCAGCTGACGGCTGAAGGTAAGAAACTACTTTTTTTTTTTTTTTTAAATTGCTTGTTGTATTTTCTTCTTTTTGTCTCTGTGTTCCATCCAGCAACTTCTGCTAGTCACATCACTTCCTGTGCAAAATTCCATTATTGCAAGGTGGTTAATTTCCAATCATTCTCATTAGAGAATCATTATTTCAGCTCTTTAATGCAGGGAGGTAATAAAGTTATTACATCTAGACCGAGGACTTCCAGGAACCCTCTTAGAAATCCAGCCCACCTAAGCCCCCCTCTTCCTGTCGCTCAGCACTCACTTAACGAGCACATATGTACACAGAATATCAAGCCTATGAAGAAGAGACAGCAAGGCTAACGGGAAAGATGATGCTATAAAGTCCTGCAATTTCTTTTATTAAATCTAAAATGATTTGAGTGTAGGAACAAATCACTGCATGCATTTGAACTCAAAATCTAAGTGCACTTAAGGTGAGTTGGAGCCCAGAATGTCCCTTAAAAGTGGACTGAATGGCTTAACCAAAAACAGGTGTACCTCAGACCCCTGTTTGCCTATAGTTAAAGAGCCGCAGAACCATAACCACTATGGCAACTATGGCAACATGTAGTGTTTATAGTACGCAGACTGCTACTGTAAAATAAAATATCTGAATTTCCCTGCTAGTGATCTTTCTGTCCGTTTTCACTCTAAGCAGAAGATTAAACACTACGCTAGCATTCTAGGCATACTACTGTAGCATTCTAGCAAAATCATTCTAGGCATTCTACTGTAGCATTCTACAAAATCATTCTAGGCATTTTACTGTAGCATTCTACAAAATCAAACTAGGCATTCTACTTTAGCATTCTACATTCTACTGTAGCATTCTACAAAATCATTCTAGGCATTCTACTGTAGCATTCTACAAAATAATTCTAGGCATTTTACAGTAGCATTCTACAAAATCATTCTAGGCATTCTACTGTAGCATTCTACAAAATCATTCTAGACATTCTACTGTAGCATTCTACAAAATCATTCTAGGCATTCTACTGTAGCATTCTAGTAAAATAATTCTAGGCATTCTACTTTAACATTCTACAAAATAATTCTAGGCATTCTACTTTAACATTCTACAAAATAATTCTAGGCATTTTACAGTAGCATTCTACAAAATCATTCTAAGCATTCTACTGTAGCATTCTACAAAATAATTCTAGCCATACTACTGTAGCATTCTAGCAAAATCATTCTAGACATTCCACTGTAGCATTCTACAAAATCATTCTAGACATTCTACTGTAGCATTCTACAAAATCATTCTAGGCATTCTACTGTAGCATTCTACAAAATCATTCTAGGCATTCCACTGTAGCATTCTACAAAATCATTCTAGGCATTCTACTGTAGCATTCTACAAAATCATTCTAGACATACTGTAGCATTCTACAAAATCATTCTAGGCATTCTACTGTAGCATTCTGCAAATTCATTCTAGGCATTCTACTGTAGCATTCTACAAAATCATTCTAGGCATTCTTCTGTAGCATTCTACAAAATCATTCTATGCATTCTACAGTAGCATTCTAGTAAAATCATTCTAGGCATTCTACTATAGCATTCTACAATATCATTCTAGGCATTCTAATGTAGCATTCTACAAAATCATTCTAGACATTCTCCTGTAGCATTCTACAAAATCATTCTAGGCATTCCACTGTAGCATTCTACAAATCATGATATGCCTTCTACTATAGCATTCTACAGAATCATTCTAGGCATTCTACTGTAGCATTCTACAATATCATTCTAGGCATTCTACTATAGCATTCTACAAAATAATTCTAGGCATTTTACTGTAGCATTCTACAATATCATTCTATGCATTCTACTATAGCATTCTACAAAATCATTCTAGGGATTCTACTGTAGAATTCTACAAAATCATTCTAGACCTTCTCCTGTAGCATTCTACAAAATCATTCTAGGCATTCCTCTGTAGCATTCTACAAAATCATTCTATGCATTCTACTATAGCATTCTACAAAATCATTCTAGGCATTCTACTATAGCATTCTACAAAATAATTCTAGGCATTCTACTGTAGCAATCACTCTAGGCATTCTAGCCTAGGAAACAGGCACTACACTTAAAACTATTTCACAAAACATAATATCATACATTGTATACAAAAGGTGTAGATGCTTTTTGAAAAAAAGGCCAAACTATTTTTATTTTTATTTTTTTTTAAACAGATATAACAAATGTAACTTACCTGGCAAGGAACAGTGAAGTATGCATTGAGGGAACAGTGAAGTCTACAAAATAATGAATTTGGTAGTGAAGGGGATAAAATATTACTAAGATTATATTTTTCCACCCACATTAACTGCATGTTATTTGGGTTTGAGTGATTGCAGGTTTGGTAATATACTGGACCACAATAATTAAAAGGAAACTACAGCTCCCTAGAGTACCCCACTCCATATCTCCCCATCTCCTCCCCCGTGTTAAGAGTGGGTTAAAAACCCGACTCTCGGCCCTGGTTCAGGCTCCGTCTTCACTCGTTCCCTGCCAATAGAAACCGGCAAGGGGGCCTAATGCGCATGCACAGCGATGGCTGCGCTTGCATTAGAACTTCCCGCATTGGAAACTATAATACCATGCTTTACTATGGGGTATTGGGTGATGCTGGATGTCCTCATGCATAAAGTGAGGACGTCCAGTATCAGTTAGTCCACTAAAAGTTGCGTATCAACCCTGAAGTCCCTCTAGTGGCAATCTGGTAGACAACCACTAGAGGTAGAGTTAACCCCGGCAGATAATTATTGCAGCTTATTAAAAATGTCAATAATTAACACTGCATGGGACATGGGACACTGCACCCAGACTACGTCAATGAGCTGAAGTGGTCTGGGTGCCTATAGTGTCCCTTAAATTCATATGAACATCTAACACCTTTACTATCTATTCTAACCAATATTTACTACTCTTCTTGTTATATAATTATTATTATTAATTGTTAATATTAAGGAGTAGTCTTTAAATATATATATTTTTTGTATTATTTATATGAATTGTGTCACTTACAAAACCTTTAAACACTGGAAATTGAATGTGTAAAACAACTGAATACAATGTATCGTCATTTCGAATGTCACCAAATAATTATCTACTTTTCTTAAGTAGAAACTAACTGCACTGTCACCTGCAATCAGAGTTCATGCGTCCCATAAAGTCTCTGTAAATCTCCATGAGTAATGCGAGTAACCCTTATGTATTGAACACGGTCACATGTCTAACAATTTATTTATCCTGTAGGTCACAGTAAAAACTATTCTAATAGCTTTCAGGGTTCATGGTTATGGGTACTGGCAAGTGATTTATAGTTTTCCTTATTGGTTGTTATTTTGTTGATACTTTTGTTATGGGTCTGCTGCCATTATTTAACAT